GATTGATTTTTTTTACTTCAAAGAGGAGTTCTTCAAGGAAATTTAAAGAATTTTCTACAAATACTTGCTGGATGTCAAAATCAATCAAACAATTTCAAAACAATTAGCCATGATGTTTAAGTATGCAAATGTCTTCTAAAGATATTGCTGAATACTCTGAATAAATCACTTTAATTATATTTGACTCAGTATTCCCATCCAGCAAGTATTTGTAGAAAATTTTGTAAATTTCCTTGAAGAACTCCTCTTTGAAGTAAAAATAAATCAATCAAACAATTTCAAAACAATTAGCCATGATGTTTAAGTATGCAAACGTCTTCTTAAGATATTACTGAATACTCTGAATAAATCACTTTAATTATATTTGACTCAGTATTCCCATCCAGCAAGTATTTGTAAAAAAATTTCAAATTTCTTTGAAGAACTCCTCTTTGAAGTAAAAAAATCAATCAAACAATTTAAAAACAATTAGCCAAGATGTCTTAATGTTTAAATGTCTTGTTTAGATATTCTAGAATATTCTAGGTGAAGAACTGGAATGGTTTGTCACTGGTTTTCCCACCATACATTGTTAAATTATATGTAATATCATTAATGGTTGTAAATTTTGATTTAAAAGTTAATTTAGCACAATTGCTCCATTTACGCCATGAAGTATGCAATAGTTGATTTATGATGCATTCTGGATGGTATGGTACTGGATGGCTTCCTGTACTACAAATTAGTGCATGCTGGATGGTATGGTACTGGATAACTTCAGTAACATTTGAGTGTGTTGGTTTATTTCCTTTTAATTCCGTTATAATTGCTTATCTTTTGACAGATACGCGTTTTTCGTCAACTACTTGAAGAATTCATCAGTGCCAAGTACTCAACACCATTGGATTGATCAAGAGCAAAATACTGTTTGGTCAATGCTATTCGCACTGTTTGAACCTTGTACTTGTCGACGTAGTGTGCATGCGAAAGGAGAATGCGATTCTTATTGGTCATTCATGTCGGTTTGTCGGTGCTATTACCACCATCTGACGTGAGCGAGAGAGTTGCGAGAGCTCGAGCAGTGCGGTCGCAAGTAGAGTTCGGTCTTGGAAAAACGTCGTCGGTAGGTGTGTCTTCGGTTTTTCAGTACCAGTGTGGAGTGTATTTAGAAAAAGCTACTCTTCCCTTTGAAATGGGAGTTAAAGTTCTTAATTTTTCCGATGCTAGCTGGGTGGACCTGTGAAAATACAAGATCTTCATTATGCAAAGAGAGGCCGCTGAAGGAGCATTGGTAGTTGCGGGGTGAAGTCCCCCATGACGGAGCGGTGTAGATGAGTGTTTTGTGAAGACTGCCTCTGGTGTTCGTAATGGAATGATGAGCATTAAATCGAGGTTGGCTGGTGAATTCATTTGATTTTTACGGTTATATTAATTGCCTTTCTTAAGTCGCCATCTTGAAAATTAAACGTGAAAAATACAGTCAAAAATCGGTCGTGGTATGAAAATCGGTTTCCTATAGAGTGGGTGTGAGTGTTCTGAAGTACGCATTGGTATTGTTGAAAATACATATTAAATAATGCTATATCTGTGTGCGGTTCCCTCGCGTGTTTCTTGCATCGGCCGGGTTGAAGTGTGAGAGAGATGGAAAATAAGCTTCAAAAGAAAAAGCAGGATGGGAGTATTCAATATGGTTTGTAAATTGGGTTAACCAGTGTGAGTGTGTTTGAAAACTAGGAGCCAAAATATTTTTTAGAAAAAGTCTTGAAGAGTCATCGAAGCAACAGTGCCAGGAGCGGAAGGGAAAGGCAAATTGATTGCTCGCTCATGAGAGGGAAACTGAGGGGAAATTAACGTGATATACACATACATGCATACACGTGATTTTGGTTTCGTATTGGACAGGTGGGAATTTGTAATGGTAAAAGAAGCAAATCACAAGATCTTTTCCTACTAGGTAAGGTAGGCTTTTTCTTTTAAATGTTTAGGTACGGGTTAAGGGGAATATGTGTGATGTCGCGATCGAAAACATGTTTTTCATCGTGTCATATAAGAAATCAATGACCATTTAAAGATTGTACTCGAAAAATGCAACACTTTCTTTTGTGTATAACTTTTTATTGCATGGGTATTGACGACTGAAGACGGCAAGGAGGAGTTGACAGCAGCAGCAGTGGCAGTTTAAATTCAAGACTGGTTTCGATCAGAAAATTGGGGTGGATTGCAGACCGTGTGCGAGTTTCGCCGTAGTGCAGCAGATGAGCTACCCTACATAGTACACGCCTATATGGGCGCCCAAGGTAGTATGCCGCAAGTGGGTATATCACCAAAACAGCTCAGGATCCAGAGATGAAAGCTGATGGCGCTGCGGAATAGTGAGGTAACGTGGTTTGTACAATAATACTCATATTACTCATATTACTTTAAACAATCGTCACGTCGGTCATAGCTTGTTATAATTGCCTGAACAATGCGTAAAGAGCAAATCGAAACATTGAACGTCGCGTGATAGTGGAATTTAATCAAGGCCTAAATACCTTCTCGTAGCCTTTTGTTTTCGGATTTGAAAGATCGTCGGTTGCAGTGAATTTTGAGAAGAAAAACGCGGTCCCAGGTCCTTTCATATTAAAAGTGTATGGTAAGATCGCTTGTTTATCGTGTATTTTGCGAAACCTTTCGTTGTCGTCGGTGCCGGGTTTGAATAGTTATAACAACTTGAGTAACGGTATGATGTGATATGAGGGGCTCGGTGGTCTTAGAGCAACCGTTTTTGCTTACTGAGCAGAACATCTTGAGTCTAATCTCAAGCCCATCCACATCAAGATTCGTCAATCGTTTTATTTGTTAATATGACTACATGGTAATAACAGCAACTCGATGATTAAAAAGGAGCTCGTTTGCCTAGTAGCAAACGTTTTTGCTTACTGAGCAGAAGACCGTGGGTTCAATCTCAAACTCCTTCGCGTTATACGATCGTTAGGACATCAATTCAGCTTATCGTTTACCAAAACGAACCCTGCTGCAAACCCAACCCTCTTACCCAACATCCCTGTGATTCCTCGTGGAAGTGCAGAGGACTCCTCGGCTTCCATCAAAGCGAGTGTCACGTCAACACATTCCTACCCATTCCTTTCTTGACCTGCGTTCAGGCGCGGCTGGCGCTGGTATTGCCTATTTTGAGATCACCAGTTTTTACACATTGAGGATGATTGCTAGTCCCAAGCATCGTCTATTGGTTCTCTGTGTAATTACAGCTGGTCTGGCAATAACAGAGTAGCAACCGCGGGCGGTCAATCATGCTCATGCTATCACAACCATCTGACGTGACTTCAGCTGAATCCAACCACGAAGGCAACAACATTACAGCAAATGTATCATTTCGGTTAAAGCCCTATTATCGCAACTATTTGACGAACCGATCAGCATCGACATCGTCGATGGGATTAAATTGCCAATTTCTATTGGCTGTCTGAAAGCAGTTTGCATTGAAGAAGATGAACCACCATGAAATGATGTATGAAGCTTTTGTAGGTTTTGATATTAGCTATAACCTTTTTGAACAACTAAAATATGTATATCTTATGCATCATGAACCGGGGCGAACAGAACTTACATATGATTTTCAGTAAATGTAAATTACATTCACTGAAAAATAGTAACAAGTTCTGCCCGCTTTAGTTCATCATGCATAAGAGGTACAGATTTGAGTTATCGACAAAATTTGTAGTTAATATCAAAACCTACAAAAGTTTCATTAATCATTTAAAGGAATTCTGTCGATGGAAAAAGTTAGAGGCAAATGAATGTAAATGAATGCACAAAATGAATGTAAATGATGACTGGCATGGCTGACCACCACCGGAGTTAAAAATAAATAAAATTAGCTAAATTGAACAGTAGGGAAACAGTGGTGGGTGGACAGCACCATCTCCCACGCACTTTGGAGAACTCCCCATACCCAGATTAAATGCACCATAAAAAAAATTGCTCCTCCTTAACAATATTCCTGTGCACGCTAGTGTAAAGAGTCACAAATTATTGAGATATTGTTAGAAATCTAACACTGCTTTTTGATTGCCAATTCGTTCTGAGTTTAAATATGCATACACCGCACTCGTATAGGCTTGTGTTGTAGTTTATCAGCACATCGAAACAAACGTATTATTGATTTGTGTACGGTGAAATCATGGATATTATTGAGTAGCAGAAACGATGTTCTAACGATGTTCGATGAACGGAAATGGACGATTACGACGAAGTATCGCTCTACCCTACAACATAGTTGCCCCATTTTTTAAAACAGCAAGCTGAGAAAAACGATGTTGAAGATTTTTGTCTCCATGGGCTCTTATGGATGGGACCACATAGTTTTGGTATTTTTCGCGACATTTTCTGAACAAAGTAGGAAACTTTTCGTATACATTGTATAGTGATGGTACTTGACAATCGATTCCAATGTATAGCTCATTTTCGTCAAAAATACTAATGGGACATTATAACAAAATGTGTAGTATGTTCCTAGAAGCATGGACAAACAGACGTTACTCTTTAAATAAATTTACCTAAAAATATCGTCACTAAGAACATATCTCACGAGCTATTCGCAGAAAATAGCTTGCTTGTCATGATCAAACAATGTTGCATACAAGTTCGATAGAATGTGAAAAAAAAACGATAAAGTGATCCGATACCAGCGGGTGACGGATTTGCGAAATGAATAACATTTAAATTGAACGTTAAATGGCTGTACGACAATTGAGGAGGAAGAGTTACGTTACGTTACGTATTGGAACTGAATCGGAACAGAGACAACGTATTAAGCAGGCTGACAATTCTCGACCAGAAATTGAAAAAGGCATATCAACTTTTGTAAACAAAACTTGCAATTTCCTTTTCGCACCAACCAAAGATTGCCTAAACAAACTAACAACACACCAGGGCTCACATTGCTATCATATCACGGAGAATCTGCGAGGAATGTCATCAAAAATAAAATAAGAACCCTTCGATTTCTCGTACATTTAAAATATATTTCCACTAATCTTTTCAACAAGATATCTATCTAAAGTTCAGATTTTGAGCTTAACTTACGCATCCACAATACGTAGTTCCCCACTCGCTCGGTCAGTACGTACATCGTACATCGATTGGCTATTCCACGTATGACATTTGGAAGACATAATTCAAATATTAAAACATAGTTAAACTGTTGCTCGATCCACAGCTCGATAGCTCTGCCCTATCGTGAACACTTTTTACTCGACTTCAGTAGACCTTAGTCTTAACCTAGGAACCGCAATCTACCGCTCAATTGTCTGCAGCTGTACCATCTGTTGCGCCGGAGGCATATCCTCCATGTGCGTCTTGTTTCGTCCCATGCAGCTGGAGAAAGCCGTATCACCCCGACCAAAGTTCTCCCCATCCTGCAGGCTCTGAGGCATGGGTTTTCCGTTGGTTTCCGGGAGGAATAGCACCCACGCTCCGGAGATCAAGGAAATGACACCGAAAATGACGGCTGGGATCCTTGCATCGAACGACTGGAACAGGATGATCATCGGGGTGGAAGCTCCAGCGAGACGAGCACACATCGATCCGAGACCCATGGCAGAGTTGCGCACCACGGTTGGGAACAGTTCAGCTGAGTAGTTGTAGATTACGGCGAACGAGCCGGCGATAAATAGCTTTCCGAACATGACGATCGTGGTGGATTCGATGCTTCCCTTGGTGAGATAAGCTGCAACAATACAGCAAATGCCTCCGGCCAGCATAAGCGAACTGGTGATGGAGCGACGGCCCAGCTTGTCCAGTAGGAAGCTGATCGAGATGTAGCTTGGCATTTCAACCAAAGCCATCAGGAAGAGGATGAGGAACGGGTTCCCTCCCAGATTGCCGGAGCTCAGCGATAGACCGTAGTATGTGATGGAGTTGGCGAACCAGCAGAGGCACACGTTCAGGGTCATCTTGCGAAGATTGGGAGTTTTGAAGAGATCGGTAAGACCGGCGGTGGTTTTCGGGGTGGACTCCACCGCGTAGCTTGATTTGTCCTTGGAGAGGTAGTACTCCTTGTCAACGGTCAAACCACGCCCGTTCATGCGGACAGCCTTGGCAATGATGTCGATCGCTTCACGCTTACGATTTTGCATCCACAACCAACGAGGAGATTCATCCATGACCCACCAGTGAGCGATGAGTAAGAGGCCATGTAGGCCGTAGATCACCTGCAGCAGCATACGATCGTGGATGACGGCACCCCATGCAGCTACCAAGATTATACCACCGGCAAAGGCCGCCTGGAATGAGATTCCACAAGGTGTTCGCTTACTCGGTCCAACCAGTTCCATCGTTAGTACGAATCCAGTGATGTAGCTACCAGCGCTACCGAAGATTCCGTACAGATATCGGATCACCAAGAACGAGTAGTATTCCGGAGTAAACGCCACCGCGACACCCAGAATCAACTGCAGCAGACCCGACCAGCAGAAGACCTTCTTCCGGCCGACCTTGTCGGCTAGACCACCGAGCCAAACGGCCCCAGTGAACACACCCAGCATATAGACCGTCTGAGCCAGCGCTCCCATCCACTCGCGATCGCAAACCAAATCCCATTCGATCGCCCTTGAAGATTTGTAGTAGGTGTTGTTGTACACGTAGGATGTGCAGGTGGTTCTGTTCAATCCCTCCATCATCCAACATGATTCCAGCTCACCATCCTTGTTCAGAGGAATGTACTGGCCAAGGGTGTTGAAGTCCAGCATCGAACTGGTAGTGTTGAACGACGACGAATCGACCCCTTCGATGAAGCAACGGTGCTCCGGAACGGCGGCCACCGTGACCAGGGACAACATGTGGAGGCCAGCCGTCACGGCGGCCAGCAGATGTAGCACGAACTGGAATGCCTGGTAACGACCGAAGTCACCTGCGGATGAGATAAGAAGATAAGGTGAGGTTAATATTTGAGTAAACGTGCAAATTGAGCAATTGGGAGGCGGTTTGGTGCGAACTTGCCAGTGACGTGCGGGTGAAGTTATTTGTGTGAACATTTTTGGGGATCGTACGGCAAGCTGTTTGCCGTTTCTATTTTGGGCCAGACGAGAATGATGACTGAGATGGCTGGGCAAACGAGTATGCATTTTTGATGTTTGTTAATCTACTTTGCATGTGTGTGGTCAATTCAATTATTATTCGTTTCATCCCATGGCAAATTGCTGGTCAATATCGAATCGATTGATCGACGCAAAAACAGTTTCCCGTTCTTCTTCGGCCTTCAGTATCTTATCAGAAGCAGCCGTATAAAATAGGGACAATCGATGCGATGGCTTAAGAGGAAGCGAAATAAATTGAAACAAATCGAAAGGCATTCCCCCGAAATTCCCGCCGACTGTCAATTAAGCTCAATTGCTCGCTTGTCGTTGGGTTGTTTGCATCGTCATCGCAACGGTTGTTTAATTTGTTGTCAACTCATTTCGGGTTTGGTTGGTGGCGCCACCACACAGTACATACGCAAATGTCGCTATCATGCCGGTTTCAAATCGATTTGGGTGCGTGTGGCCTTGAGGGGGGGTTTATTGATATTGAATTGGGAAATCGTTGGGTCCGTGTCAGGGTGGTGGTGTCTTTGTGGATTTTTTTTTTTATAATTAATTGGTCCTTCATTTTATGAAAATCTTGATTAGGGTGGTCGTCATTTAAAGAACACATTATTGTAAGGAGTTTTGAGGAAATTTTTAAGCGAATTCCGAAAAAAAATTCCAAGAAAATTTAATTCTGAATTCCGAGGATAATTCTAACTACATTTACAGAAAAAAATCTAAGGAATTCTGAGACGTATTCCAAGGATATTCCGGTGATAGTTTTTATAAATTTTAAAAGAGATTTCCAAGGAAATTGTGAGGAGCATTTCAACGAATTAATGGGAATTCTGAGCAGAACTAAAACAGAAATTCCTGTGGTAATTCCATGGAAATTTCAGGAGAAAATTAAGTGCATGCTGAGGAAAACCGGGGGGTTTTTTTTCAGGGAATTGCTAGAATTATTAATAATATGAGGATTATTGTAGAGTGAATTCAGAGAGTGTTCTGTAGAAGATTTTCGAGCGAATTATGGAGGAAATCATAAAAGAATTCAATTTGGAGTTTCGAACGCCTTTGGATACGGTTGTGATTAAAGTTTGCTGTCTGTTTTGTGCGTGCATTCTCTTTCATAGTTTTCGGCTGCATTTGCCGGATTAGCGCTGGCACTCTGCCTCCCGGACGGTTATACGTGTGTGAGTGGTGGTTTTCTCGCTTTCCGAGAAGTTTTAGAATCAAGAAAGAAAACATGATTCATCATGTTTGCAAAATTGCAAGCATCAGAAGATTTGGCGCTGCGTGGTTTTATTGTTTCTCCCGTACCAAAAATTTGTGGCATCGCGAGTGAAAATTTTAATTTCTGTTTATTTACGTGGTGATGAGAACGGCGTTGATCTATTGTTAAGGGCCACCCACATTAGATCAGTTTGCGTTGCATTGACGTAAATTTGACAGTTAGACAATAGATTTAGCTGTCACTTTGCCGCAACGCGTCCGATCCGAATCTAATGTGCGTGGGCCTTTAGGGTTTTGCGAGGTGCACTGAGTGACTTGAAAAAGAAAAGTGAAGAAAAGTGATATTTGGTTGTTGTGTGGTTGGAGTGGCGAGAAAAATATGCGTGGAAGCATCGGGAATACGCTCCCGGGTGAAGTGATTTGGTGAGTACGTTCCAGTTGAAGATTGTTGACAAGTGTATTTGTGGTGATGCAAATTATGGTTTAGATGACGCAAGGCTTCAAACATAAATACATATTACATACTAAATACGCACAGGGCATCGTCTGCTGACCATTGCCACGGGTATATCGTGGGAGTCCCAGGTACCTGGTTCAAGCTTTAGTTGGCGGCGGTGGCTCTTCTTGACCTTCTACCCCCTGAGTAGTTAGTGTGAATAAGGGCGTCTATGTGATGTTTTGCTGTACCTGTTGTGGACATCTAGTGCATCCTGTTCCCTTAACTTGTTGAGGACACCCTGTCTTGCCTCAAAAGTTACCCTTTTTGAAGTACTAGTCTTCACAACATGAAGGGCACCATTACGGAGCATGAGATTTGATCAAATTATTCGCAGTTCTACTTGTCCAACGCCCCCGGCTGGGTGAGGGATAGAGGATGACACTCACACACACACAAATCATAAAAGAATTCAATTTTTCCATAATTTGAAAAAGCAAAAGGTCAAGATTAAAGGTTTGGGGAAAAAAAAATGCAAATTCTGTGGTTCAGATTTTTAAAGATTCCATGCTACGAAAATTATATGATCCTGGATTTAGAAAAAAAAGTGTTATGACATGGAGTGGGGGATTATGGAGAAGATTAGGGAACATGAGAAGTTTTCAAGTTCCAAAACTAGCAAAAATATTTGAAACGCCAAACTTTGAAATTTAAGGTTGTGAGCTTGAAATTAATCAAATGGCTGCGATTTAATTCTTCTAATTCTGGGATTTTGAAACATTGAAAAGTTTCTAGTTCTCATGGTGACCAGTGAATTCCGATCTGTGAGTATAACCTGAGTGGTGCGAAGTGAAATTTTCTTCATGTTGGTAGTGTTGAAATAAACGTTTCATCACCGTCGGTTGGTAGAGAGAAGTGTCAAACGGCTTTTTGTGCAGAGCCGATTCGTGACTTTGTGATTGTTTGTTGACATTGTTCATAGCTGGAGTTTTTACGGAGTGGAATAAAATTCAGAATGAAGTGTTTTGCTCACTTTTGCAATTATAAAGATGGACACGACGAAAAGCGAAGCCTATTCAGGTTTCCCAAGGATTCAGCAGTACGAAAAGAGTGGCTCAGTTTCTGTGAGGTGGATCTCAATTTTCAAATCAAACCCAGTGACCGGTTGTGCAGTATTCATTTTGATAAAAATTGTGTAAAACATCTGAATTCAGTTGCAAATCAGATGCAAATTTAATGTTGCCGACGATATCTATGGAAGTGCTGTCGAAATTCCCTGGGACCTCCAATGGCAACGATTTGACTTCCCTCCAAATCGTGTGAAACTCGAACATGAAAACTCTATAGAACCCCCGTAGAACCTCGCTGGCAGCAACTAAAATATCCACTGAAACCTCTTCTGTCGCGGGAAAAATCTGTTGAAATTTCCTGGAACTTTTGTACTATCATCACAAATCTCCTTAGAACGTTCTCCGAAGTCACAGTCGTTCCTGAGCGAAAAAAAAATCGGAGGGGTTTTTTTCAGCGCAGGAGTCTACTTTGGTCCAAAATACGCAATAATACTGTTATTTTTAATTGTTTAAGTCGTTTCGAATCACGTTTTTAAAAAGATCAAAAACATTACTGAAAAATATTTATTTTTTATTTTGGACGATAACAATACTTCTATCTATTTCAACGAACCACAATGATAAAAAAGTGGTTCGATTTGACAGCTCGAAAGTGGTTCGATTTTGAGGTCCGTCTTCGCACCACTCAGAGTATAACCATACAGTTTCCCTTATTTTTCGTAACTAAACCACAGACTCTCATCAAACCTACGCTAATCTTATGTAAAAGTGGCCAAGGACAGGTAAAATAGACGGCAGAGTACGGGAAATTTCCTTTTTGCTCCAATTTACCGATGATTGGTTTTTTTCATTTTTTGGTTTATTGATTTATTTGATAAGGCTCAAACGAATTAACTTTACAGAGACGAGGATTCTTGGTCACTATACAATACATCTTAAAACTATAGTCAAAAGGTACAACACATTAAACACTTTATCTTCCGCTATTCAAAAAGCCTCCTCCATCAGAACTGGACCCGCTTCCAGTGGATTCTTTGTATGGCAGTTACGACAACGTAGGTCAGAGCGCTTCCATTGAAGAACTGCTGACGAAGAACAATGAGGAGGACCACAAAATGGTTGCTGCCGAGAAAACAGACAATCGCGTGGCACACATCGAGAATGGCCTGCTTTTGTCGACAGCCGAGTGAACACTGATGATTGGTGGTGACTCGTACTAAACAATTTAGTTTGTTCTTCGTAACTTAAACAATTTGTTTTTTGTTTTTTTTTTGAGCCGCCGTATGTACTAGATAGCTGGCCATGAATTATTGTTCACGTGTAGTTTTTGAGTGAATATGCATTGCAGAAGTGCGTATCAATTAAACGTCAAATAAAATTCTATTGCATAGTTACATTTCAATTGTTGTTGCAGAGGATGGGAATCATTTTCGTGCTATACTGTGAAATCATAAACCAGTTATGATGTAAACAAATTGATATCTATCTAATACCGCGTTCACATTACAGCCTATATCAAGTAATATAGGGTGTCTTGCAATGAGCACTCATACATAGGATGTCCCGTGAAAACTAGATGTATGAGTGCTCATTGCAAGACAGCGTATATCACGTGATATACGCTGTAATTTGAATAGGGTATAAGGTGTGTGTGTGCGTGTGTGTTTGAGTGTCATCGTTTATACCTCACCCAGCCGAGGGCGTGGGACAAGTAGAGCTGCGAATAATTTGATCAAATCTCATGCTCCGTTATGATGCCCCTTATGTTGTGAAGACTAGTACTTCAAAAAATGTAACTTTTAAGGCAAGTTAAGGGAACAGGATACTCTAGATACCCACAGCAGGTACAGCAAAACATAACATAGACGCCTTTATTTACACTTACTACTCAGGAGTCAGGTGGTAGAAAGTCAAGAAGAGCCACTGCCGCACAGTGCACAGTGGGGATTTTGGCAACAAAAAGGCTTGAATTGTCTGCCGCTGAAACCACACAATGTAACATATGACTTTTTTTTGGGAAAAATGTCAAGAATTTTATTCTGCATATTTTCAATCGACGTACGCTGGGATAAGTGCATGTTTGGAGCCTATTTTGCCCCAAAATCCC